AATATTATACTGCTTGAAAGATCTCACCTTTTGATAGCATTTTCAACATGTGCTGTACACAGCAGCCACTGTACAGCCAAGTCACCTCAGAAAACAAGACAACCTTCTTCTGGCCATTATAGCACACAAATATATAAACAGCATCCACAACTGAAAATCCCATTGTGGCAGTTAATTATTCAAAACTGCAATAAAAAGATGCAGAACAAGCACTAGCTAAAACTTCTATTAAGTTCTAAACATAAATTGCCAAATGAAATAGAGATGAATAGCTTGGCAGCTTGTTTCAAAAAACTAGCAACATTTTGGGAGGGGACATTGTAGGAATCTCTCTCAAACTGAATTTTCAAGATAGCTGTAACCAATAGTGAGTATAGCCTCAGTGACCTGACAGCAGCTGTTTTTTACCACAGCTATTATTCACTGAGTATCTGACCTTTATTTTTGTTCCCTTTTGTACTTAGAACCATTACAGACCTACACCCCCAGCCAGCCCCAAGACAATAAAATCCACCTGAGGAAAAACTGACAATGCAAATTTGTGATACTGTGCTACTTTGCTATTGGCATGGGATCTGGAGGACTGCAGCACAAACAGCAACAGCATGCATTTTAACTAATCTATCTCACAACAGCATCTCTACAGGCTGCCAAGAGAAGGATGTTTAAAGATGAAGTTTTAGGAGAGTACCATTGGCTCATCAGGAAGTAAACTGAGAACCCTTTTACCAGGTAAAATGCCTCAAAGTATGCTTCTTACAGACCTACCTCTCCAGCTTCTTTTCACTCTGGTAATAAGGATCAGCATCCAGGCTTGCTCTGTCAATGGTACAGAGCACTGAGATCCAGTGGGGTGCTCTGCCACCTGAGCTTTTATACAATGAATGAAGATAGCATCTGCACATCAATCTAAAAGAATCATTGTTAGAGGTGTGTAATAAGCATACGTAATGTAACAGTGTGCATAAGTAGACTAAAAAGATCAACAACAACAAGAAATAAGTACAACTTTTCTTAAACAGTCACCAGAATAATAAAAAAGATAGGCAACAGATTGGATGTTTTTGTTGATATCTCAGGAATCGCTTGGAGAAAGATTTTTAGAAAAACAACATTCTTCAGAGCCCATCATGCAAAATCTATAAACTAAAATGTTGACAGATATAAAAGGTCAAAATGTTTTTTGCTGAGAACAGTTAGAAAAAAGACGCAGAGACACAAATGGCAAAGACAGAATTAAATTGCAGAGACACCCTAGTGCAAGCAGAGATCAATCCATCCTGTGAGAGCACTTCAATGAATACATACACTGCCACATTTCTGGTTTCCATATTTGAGAGCCCCAAATGCAACACACTTTAATTAAATTGTATTTAGTCTCAGACAGGAAGTAAAATACGTGTAATTACAGCTTTATACACATGAAATCTTTCATTATTTTTTTTAAAAGATATTCCAAAATGTCCAGTAGACATTTTTAGTAGACTTTAACACAATTAAGTTATATTTAATTCATGCACACACACTCAAAAATGCATCTGCATAGCAATAGGTTGTACTGGGTCTGTCTAGAATAGAATTAGTTTCCTTCATAGCAGCCCATAGGGTGCTGTGGATTTGTGTTGATAACACACTGCTCTTCAATCTGTTGCTGAACAATGCTTACACAGCATCAAGGCTCTCTCTTTTTCCCCACTCTGCTGCACACCCCTGCCCCAGCAGGTAGGCTGGGGTGGGCAAGAAGTTGGAAGAGGATACAGACAGAACAGCAGACAAACTGATGAAGGAGTTATGCCATAGCACGTAATGTCATGCCCAGCAATAAAGATTGGGGTAGTGGACAAAGGTTGCAGGGGGCAGCTGGGCTTCCAAGGGCTGTCCATCAGTCTGTTTACGGGAAGTATAAAGGAACTACTTTTGCATCACTTGGGGTTTTCTTGTTTGGTTGCTTTTATTCCTCTTTCCTTCACTTTATTAAACACTCTATCTCATCCCACAAGTTTTCCCATTTTTCCCCTTCCTATGCTCTCCACCACCCTGCTCAGAGCGTGGGGTAGGCAGGAGCAAACAGCCCTGTGGGTGCTGAGCAGCCCACAACACAGGTGAACATACACCGTGTCCTACATACTGTACTAATGGTCAGTGAAATACATTGTTTGTTTCCTAAATGACTACACATTAACCAACCTTTACCATTTGCCATGGTTTTCATTTTTTAACCTTTTTTTGTTTGTTTTTAGAATTCCTGTACAATTCTTTTAGGCATAGACATGATACATTTAGGTTTAAAAAGGAAAAAAAAAAAAAAAACAGGTGTAGTTGAACTGCAATTGAAACTAAAGTTTCACCTGAAAATGCTGTTTCACAGAACCAGATGTACTTCTCTCTATCCCCTACAAATGAATTTTCTGTTGTACTTGCCAAGGAAGGGTCTCAGAGGACTTCTAAAACTCATCTCCATTGGGTCCAGTCATATCTCAACCACACCCCAGCCATTACAGTTTCCAGACCGGAGACTCACAGGCAGCTGATCAGTAAAATTGATTGCTTTTCCGTTTTCATTTGTGCTAATAGCACAAAGTAGAAATGTAGAGAGGCAGCTGTGGGATTGTGGGGCATTTTGGTTTTGAAACAGTAAATGCTCATGTTCCCCTGATGAGACTGTCAGACTTCTACTTATCCACTCACATGAACTGAAAGAAATTACCCAAGAACCAGTTTGGATTGAAATCAAGTTTTCGTTTTTTTTTTTTTTTAAAAATCAATGAATTAGAATAATACTTTTATACGTTCATCTTTATAATTAAAGTGGTAAAATTCCAAATTCAGACCACCCTTTGTGTATACAGTGCAATACAACCTTTACTTACACCTGCTTACAGCAGTCTCACGTAATTCTCAAGCTTAATTACTGCACAAATGAAAAGCTTTGATGTTCCTACACATTTCTGTGAAAATCAAGTTCTGAGATGGGAGCTGCTTGGAAGAAACTGACTCTCCTTAGGAAACAGGTGACAACTTAAATACTCTTAATACTTAAACACTCTGTTTAAGGGTGGCTAACTTCTGCTCTGCTGGCTTCATCAGGAGCAGGGAGCATCCTCCTGCAGGATCACAGCTTGTGTCAAACGGACTAAAACGCAAACCCTGGTCATCAGCCTTCCCCCTGAGCAAGCAGGAACAGAAGAGCTTCCAGAACACAAAAGCAGTGTTTCAGTTTGAGACACTGTGTAAGAACTTGAACACCTTTTTTTCTTTCAAATGAATAAATCCTAATTAAATTGAAAGCATTAATTCTGCACAGTTAGCACACAATAGCAATCGTACAGTTGGCAGGCTTTGTCATCCTCACAGAAAGTGAAGAAGTCCCCAGGTGTTAACTGTACCCACAGGTTAAAATGTAGTAATTTAAAAGGTAATTTTTTGCACCTTATCAGTACTCCACAATAGATGCTTAATAACATGCCTGATCAGAAATGGATTTTAACCTCAGAATTAGTAAGGCTCTAAAATTCCTCAGTGAATACTTTTGTATTTTTCAATTCCCTTCTTACAGTATAACAAGTACTCATTAAATAGTTGCATTTTTCACAGATAGACATAGCGTATAATGGGGTTAGGGACTCAGGGACACGTCAAGACAGAAAAGCATTCTCAAAAACAAAATTGCAGCCTCAGTTGTTTCCTAACCCCAAAGGCATCCCATAACCCAAATGCCCCATAGGCATTTACAATATCAGCGAGAAATTGTTGCCAGTGCTTGGTGGGCAAGTCCAGAATTGACTCCATCCTGCAGGCAGCAAGCAGCTCTGTACTCAGCCATCGGCTCAGTTCTGCCAGGAGCCATGAGTAAAGTGAGCATTATGTACAACTCTACAGTGAGTGTTATCACCTGGATTTTTTTTCCTGGTAAAAATTTCCCTCATATAACAGATATTAAATCAGTCTGCTGGTGGGAAGCAGTCAGTGAGTACCTTTGCATCACGTGGTTGGTTGTTTTATATTATTATTATTATTATTATTATTAAAAAAACACCATATAAACTATCTTTTATCTAGATCATAAGTATTTCTCATTTTTGCCCCTCTGGTTCTCTCCCCCATCCCACTGTTGGGAGCAGACAAGTGGCTGTGTGGGGGTTTAGCTGCCAACTAGGTTCAACCCACCAGGACAACAAATATTTAATATTTTATAGAATTACTGTACAATTCTCAAGTCATTGAAGAAAAACACAAAGGACTTTATCCTAACTTCAGAGCTTCTAATAAATAACAGTAAATTTATTCTGTACTCATGCCACTGCACACAGTAGCAAAGCAGCATTAAAAAAATAAAAATAAAATCACCGACACTGATGTTAGCTTCTGACTGCCTTGTACTGCAGTTATTCCAGCTGCCCTTGGGATGTGATTTCCCATAGCATATCTGACTGTTGATATTTGAAGCATGCATTTGTGAGCATTTGAAACTCAGATGCTCACAAATGCTACGACACCTACATCAAGCCCCAGGAAAGATTCCAGCCCTTAAACTGAAAAGTGTAGCCCTCAAACTGCTGTCAGGTCTGTTGCTAAACACCTCTTTGCCCTCCAAATTGTGCTATAGGGCAAGTCCAAACTTGCAGCAACACGGGAAAGGCAAACAACTTGATTCCCACCTCAGGACTAAGGCACAGCATGAAACACAACAGCCACAGTGATCTTCAGAAACTCAAGCTCAGCCCACAGACATTCAAAGCCTCTCTTCCAACCTGGCACAGCAGCACCCTAAACACCCTGAGCTGCTTAGGAAAGAGATTCCAGCATTTGCAACACATGAAAAGCCACACACTTCAACTCACTTTTTCTTGAGAATTTAGTGATTCAGCATTTGCTTTCTTTGAGGACAGAAAATATTTGACTCTAAAGTGCATGGATTTTTAATCATTTAATTATTTTAATCATTTTTCCTTATTTTGCTCTACAACAGCAAAGCCCCAGCTGCTAAATGGGAAATTGTATCATACTTCAAATAATGCTTTATCTTTAAGTTTTGAAGTCAATTCAGTTTATTTTTTGCTTGTTTGTTTATAGTAGAATCAGGTTCTCACAGTTCACAAAAGAAACAATTTTATCAAGAATCTTTCCAAAATTTATTTCAAGTCACACTCATTGTGGATTAAAGGTAAGTTGTTATTTGCATAATTTGTTTCTAAAACAAGTATCTTCACAACAGTGACATCTGCAAAAAAAAAAAATTGCACTTTAAAAAAACACTAGAAAGTTCAGTTATGATCATAAACAGCTTGATCTGTTTAGACTGATGCTGTCCAAAAACACCTGAATCTGACATTCCAAAATAACGTTACTTCCAACTTCGCACACTTAACTGTCAGCTCCTGAAAGTCTCCCTACCTGGGGACACTACAGTATGCATTAAAGCCTATGCTTTTTTCCTTTAATCACCTAGTCTCATAGTTTCTCTTAATTCACCTAAATAAAATTCAATATTAATGTTAAGTTGTTTTAAATAACTAGGATTTCTTCTACTGTAGTTATGTAGTGTGTGGAATAAATGTTGAAGCTATTTGTAGTTTCATGTATGGAAAGAGATTGTCAAAGATATCTAGAGCTGAAAGCTATTTTAGAATATACACTAAAATATGCTCAAAGGCAGAAGGAATTAAACCTTTCACAACATACTCTCTAAGGTCATCTGAAATGCAACTGCATATGGTGATTCCCAGTACCGCTAACAATGATACAAGAAACGCGGATTTAAAAGAGAAGTTTTCAGTTGTTTTAAAAGATATCTTCACTGAGAATCTTGTGATTTTGGGAGATTTTCATCTGAAGACTCCCCCTGACTCCCAAAGTACTCAGTGGTATAACTGTTGCTGAAGCTTGCAAATACTGAGTGCAAACACAATATTCTCAACGTATCTACTCAGATCAAATATATGCTACTCATGGTGCTTACACTTGTTTTCTTGCATACTGAAATACAATGGAGAGACTTCAAGCATTCCTGAAGGTGATAGACCACAAACAGAAGGTAATAAATAATAGTCATATAACAATCAAAGCACCTGATTAAGACAGATTTCAGATTGGAAAGCCAACCAGGTGCAAATCAGAACAGTTTTCTAAGTATTTATATAGTTTACAGTAGCCACACAACATATACTTGGTAATCAATGCAGTAATATTCCTTCCACTTAATTCCAAAGCAGCTTGATTTATAGGAAACCATACATATTTACATAGTTATCCTTATATTTTGTATCATGAAGCAAAGTGCAAATTGACTTGTTGACTGCCAAGAAATTTCTTACAATCCTAGCTAATACAGAAATTGCTAGAAAATGTGTTGTGTGTGTCATTCCCTTTTTTGATCATACATACATACAACAAACAAATTTACAATCAAATACACAATTTTAAAAGGCAAAGTTTGGTATGTGCCATATATATATATGCATACATGCACATTCCTTGTCACAGATACCAAATATGAGGCAGGAAATGCACATCAACATTCATACAGTGTCAACTGTAATGAATTACCTTCAATTAGCAGGTATCATAATTAGAATTGTAATTTGAGCAAACCTAACAGAAAATGAGACCTTTTGGAAAGATAATGTACATTTAAGTTTAAGAGTCCAAGAATGAGGACGCAACGCATGACTTAAAGAAAGTGATACCATATCTCTTAATTTAACCCTAAAAATATTTAACATTTGTATTTCAGTTTATCCAGCTGCTTTTATCAGGTTATCCATCACTTATCACATAGAATGATATTTGATTTCTTCTAGCCCTCTGAAATATCTCACCATGATCTTTCAAAAACAGTCTAGAATGGCTTCTCAGTGAGATCAACCACTTCACTCAACCCCAGTGAGTGCATCCCATTAATTTATGTATGCCCAATTTGTTTGGATATTCTCTAACTTGATCTTCCTCCATTGAGGGCATATCCTCCTTATCCCATATTTTTCCACTGGTCTCAAGACCTGAAACTCCACTAGGCAGGACTAAGGCAGAGAAGACATTGAGTACCTCAGCCTTTTTTTTTTATATGTTCTGTCACTCTGTCCCCTGATCCATTCAGCAGTGGGCTCACATTTCCCTGATATTCCCTCTGCTTCTGATAAACCTGTAGTACACCTTTCACGTCACCCTTCTATATCCCTTGCTAGGTTCAACTCCAAGTGGGCTTTGGCCTTCCTAATCCTATCCCTATGAATACTTAGACAGTGCCTCCATCCTTCCAGATGATCTCCTGCCCCTGCTTCTACACCTTTTTATTTCCTTCATGTTTTTAACATCTTCATTATAAATATGTACAATGGAATGAAAACAAATGACTTTATTTACAATTGTGTGTGTGTATAGCTTCCGTCCCACAAAAACGCTCAGTGTTAATTGGCCCAGAAATCACATGCCATGTATATTGAATATATCCTTTTTAATCCCCCTGCAGATCTGTAGTGGTTTTCAACCACTAATATCAAATAAATCATGTTCTGTGAAGTAATTATGCTCTTCCACATTTAATCAATAATCAGTGCAATCATTTGTAACTCTAACTACTAAGGTAGTTCTGATTACTCTAGCAGAAAAATCTGCACTGAATAAACTAGCCTGACTCACATGCCAGGGCCTCCATTCTCATCTTTAGAATTGTCTCAGTGAATCCATACGACCATATACATGCTTTAATACCTACAAGAAAGAACAACAAAACATTTCTGAAAACTGGACCTGTACATTTTAGAACAGACCCAGGGGTTAAGCAGTTGTGATGAATTTCCCTTACTCATTTTAGGTAACATCTTTTTAGAATTATTCAGAAATGTTCATAAATGTTATCCTGTTGCATTCTGTGATTCTAAGAATCGCAGAATATTATAGGCTAGAAGGGACCTCTGGAGATCATCTACTCCTGTCCCTAATTCACATCAGTTCCTCTTCAATCAGTTTCTTCAGGTACTTGTCCATTTGAATTTTAAATATCTCCAGGGAGTCAGATTCCACAGCACATCTGGGCAACCTGTTCCAAACTTTGACCGCTTTCAGACTCAGCTGGGGAAGCTTTAGATCAGGTGCAAGACAGTCACATTTCTGGGCCTCCTGGAAAACCAATGTAATATTCTTACTCCACCATACTATTTATTTTATTTATTTATTTTTGCCTATTGCCTAAATGTATCTACCACATACAATTTTTATTTATTTATTTATTTTACAGTCTCAGGAAAACATTGTATGACAAACAGAAAAGCAGCAGTCACTAGAAGTAGAAAACTGAAGGTTTTGGAATACAGTTTTAATGTCAGGAGTTGAACTCTACAGGCAGTAAGTGCTGTTTCACGCTTCCAGAGTGCCCTGTTTCAGCAAATGTACTGTGAAAGTAAGCAGCAGCATTCTGTCTGTAAGCAGAACAGGATACACTGGAATATGTAAATAACTCTCACAGAGATGACATATTCACCATGAAAAGGAACTAAGCCCTTGACTGGATTTTACTCTAAGGAAACAACAGCTCCCCAAAGAAAAACTGTTTCGGCCTAGGCCCAGCACAGCCCCTGTTGAGGCACCAGAGCAAAGCCCAAGCACTACCCTGCAAGTGGGCAGGACAAAGGGCTAAAGCCCACAGGTGCGATCCTGAACACTCTCCCAGTCCTACCCTCAGCCAGTTACTGCCCAGCCGTAAGGAAATTAACTTCAGGATGTGCTCTGAGGACCAAAAAGCACAGAGAGTTGCAGTTATGGAGCAGGACAGGTCTCCCCTGTTCAGATGCGACTTTGTCCTTACTGTTCACATGTGTACTGTACACATCCATACCACAGACACCAACAGACTTGTGCTTCTCACTGCCTCCAAGCCCCACCACATGCAAGCTGCATTGCTGGTGAGCACTTCGTTGTGGAAGGTGGATTTCAACAGCAAATTCCCTTCATTCAGTCAAAAATTAACTGCCCTGTAACTTCTTCTTTCCCTATCATTCACAAACTGGGAGAGTTTGGTCTCCTTTCTCCACTTCCCCACCATGGAGTGCCCAAAGACCTGCCTGCAGGCCTGTGGGAGGCCAATGCATCCCTCAGTCAGGACAGCCACTCCGTGCCTGCACACGGCATAACCCCATAATGGAAAGGGGTTAGAAAGGAGAGGAAACACAGGGAGCCCTGCCTCCTAGCACATGCTCAGGGGCTGTTTCCATAACACAGTGTCATAATGGAAGAAGTAATAAAATATTTATTTCCAACAGCAGAGTGGGTGTGGCTGCTTCTGCACGGGACATAGCCCTGAAGTATTCAGTATAAGAATTAAAAATGATTCTTCTTTCTTTTGTGTTAATGAAGTAGATTTTAATAAAAGACAAAATGCAACAGTGTAAAAGCTTACCGGTTTAAGAGTAGGAAAAGGAATATATCCGAATGTCATTAGCAAGAAAAACATGATGTCTTTCATGCTTCTGGATTTTAAACCAACAACAGATTTATGTTACACTGTTTTTCTACAGCTTAAGACACTCTCAGGATAAATATATTTCTGTGGTCTTTGTACCATTTGGTTACTCTTAGTTGTTATGGCAATAGGTCATCTGTATTAAAATCAGATTAAATGAGGTCATCTGCAGCAAAATGTGTTCACTAAGCTAAAAAAACAATTATCACATAATTTTAAAGGAATATTTAAAGAATTAAATAACATGGTCTCCCCACCTTTTTTTGCATGAGAGAAATTACTTGAGGCAGACATAAGCTATTCAGAAAAACAAGTACAAAAAGAATATTTTTTTTTCTAATTTGTCCCAACTGCAAGACAATTTTTGTTCTTTTAATTATTTTGTATGGAGACAAACTGTGCAGTAATTGTAATATACTGGAAGCTAGCGATATCTGCTAGTTAGTATGCAATGGTATCAGATATTTTAAAGACTCAGCATGAGCCAATTTGGGGATTTTGAGCATTCTGGAAGTCATGTAATGAGTAATTTTGTGCTATCAATTGGATAAATATTTTTGTTATATGTAATTTTTGACTATCTTTCTGTAAAAGTTGTGGTTTTAGAGTAGTAAATGGGTAGGCTTTGATAGTCTTTTCACTTTTATTGAATCCTTGTTACTAGAAATTGTCATTCTTGTCACAAAATGCATTAGCATCCCTTTGTAAATCATTACACTTCTAATAGATGGGAAAGGCACCATACTTTAACCCTGACAATCTTTAAATGTTCTGTATGCCAGATCTTCCTCAAAATATTGAAGTGTTTGCTGGCATTTATAAAACAATACTTCACAGAAAACAGTTTTGCTATGAAAATAGTCAGAAAATCTGTCAGCCACTAGGTGTGACTTTCCAGTACATTACTTATTTAACCTCATGAATCTAGCCTGGATGGGGCATTCAGAATGGTAACATTACCTGTAAAGGATCCAAAGCACAAACACATGCTTGGATGCTGCAAAATTCAGAAGAGAAATAAAGGTAAATATGCAACAGTAACAGCAAACTATTTCTCTGACTAGGACATTATGGTTTTGTTTTGTTTTCAACTTAATAAAATTTAAATTGATATTGGTATACATATCAGAACGCAGTATTTGGCTCAGGCCTTGAAAAAAGAGAAACAGATTTAGGCATAAGGATCCACATGCAGGGGTCATAGTCCTACAGATTAAATCAGATAGTATAAACATCACTTTTATTCTGGATAGAATAGTTTAACATTTACAGAAGTTTAGCCACTAGCAGAAATTACTTCTCATTTTATCTCAAACACACATGTTATGTAGAATTTTTAGATTTTTCTCCAGAATTTCTATACCAGCCTAAACATGTGAAATGGGGAACAGAATCACAGAACGCAATATTCTTATCCCCTAAAAGAAAACATACAGTATGGGTTAAGCCTAAACAAAAAAAAAAAAAAAAAAAAAAAAAAAAAGAAAAACTTAAGAACATGCTGAAGTTTTATTCATTGCATAAGTTCAAGTTCCAGCTGGTAAAGAAAGCATTAACAGTAGGAAAAATACACTAGCATTCATCACTTACTAGCAAGAATTCAGCAGTGATTGGCATTTCTGAAAACACTTTGCATTTATGCACACCAAAGAAATTACAGCACTCCCCACTCCCTGTAATTCTTCCTCACCAGATACACACACAATTTGAGTTATAATAGCCATTTCCTAATTATTTTGCAACTTAGTTTCTATTTAGAGCACTCAGAGAGGCTTTGCTTTTGCCATGAAAAAATGTACACAAGCCATCTTTTCATTTTTACTAAGAGCTTCTGTTGCCAAGAACTAGGCACATAAAGCTGTTTCCCATAGTCAAGAATTTGAGAGATCTATATTTTTAGGACTTTTGTGCATCTCACTCTGCCTGAGGCTATGGAAACAGGAAACGAGGGATTGCAACACTAGCCAAATACCAGAAACCTTTAGGAAAATAAACAAATAAGTAAAAGTGACTCAAGATGAAGATAGCTGAACAGTAATTACTGGTCAAAAAAAAAAAAAAAAAATCTGTGGATGATCTCCTAAGTCTTGGAGCTCTGCTGAACTGAATAGACTCTAAAGAGTTAAACGTTTTCTGAGATGATGATTCAGTCCTCAAAGTACCTTTTGCAAAGATCTACCTAAGGCCCTGAGTGCTCCTATCAGTAGGAGCAGGGTAGACCCAACTTTTGAGAAACTTAAAGCAACTCAGGTAGAACAGACCAGGACAATGGTTCCCTGCACTGCAGCTACTTAGAGTGAGTAAACCTTTGTTCTGAATACACTGTTTTGAATTAGCTCCTGGTCCCGGAACCCTAGAGAGAGGCTTCCTTTGGATATTTAATTCTTTCCAGGCTCCTGAAAATGCCATCACAGGAGCACGTCATGGGTTCCCAAAAGTTCAAGTGCGGAATGGTAAAGGGTTTAGGCATAAAACTGTAGTTCACAGGTGTGGTGAAATGCTGCTTATTTGCATAGAATGTTTGCATCCAGAGTTAAAGGTCATCAATCCATATTCCAAAATTAGGAGTTTTAAAAGGAACAGTGCAGAGGCTGATGTAGCTAGTGACATAGTCTATCATTACCAAAACTAGTAGCAGCAACAAAAAAAAAGTCAGTGAGGGAAATTCCTACATGTTTTCTAGGAACACAAGAAAATAATGCATATATGTAGATAAGTGTGAAAAAGAAGCTCAAAGTGGAAAAAAGACATACGTTAACATGAGGGGGAAGCAATAGAATGAAAAAGCGAACTAAGTATGAAAACAGAAAGCCTAAGCAATGAAGAAGCAGAGTGAAGTAAGACTTTATTATTTTACACAAAATGATCAGGAAAAAAATGCTGGAAGTGAAAGGAATTTTGCACAGAAACTTAAGACCACTCATGAAAGACCTGTAAGTAGATGTCTAAGATGGAGACAGCATGGTAAATCCCTACAGGCTTTGTAAGCTGATGTAAGAGATTAGAACTGACTTTCCCATGTTAGTATTGTCTGATTAGGAAAAATGAAAAGCGAAAGTACTAGATGTTGAGAATGAAATAAGGAAAAAGAGAACAAGTGAGGAGAAATCCATAGCAAAATATTGTACATCAGCCTAAAAATAGGCACAGTCTAAAACAGAAAAAGAAATATAAAACTCAAATGTAGCAATCTAATTTACTATTAACTATATTGAAAAAGATAAAGAATTATTAACTGTGACCATACATATGATCAATATGAAATGGAAATACATAAACACAGAAGAATTTGTAAAATTTGTAAATATGTTTGTAAATATGACACTGTGCTCAGCGCTAGGTATTACTTAGGCTAGTTGATCAGGACTTCAGAGAAGACAATTTTACTACATGCTTTAGAGAAAACAGAAATACAAGCTATCCAATCAAAACTGATTTTCTTAACAGAAGACAGAGTAAAAAAACACTTTGATTTAAGATTGCCAAAGTTTTCTGCAACACAGCTTTGCTGGCATGAAAATATGAATTTAACAAGCCTGTAATAATTTACAAGCATGGTTCTGGATTCAGCAGTTCATAAGCAACATCTTATGCTCTAAGAAGCAAATACTTGCAGCTAATAATACCATCAATACCATTTTTTGCAGGGATTTTAAGACTTAAGGGCTTTTGTATTGTCCTGCTTGAGATGAGGGGTTCAATCATTTTAATGAGAAAAACCTTAAAAGTTTACAGAAGAAAGAAAAACATACCAGTGCCAAAACAAACCTGACAAAACACATCTGAAATTGAACAGTTTGGAAATATTTGTCTTTCAATGTTTCTGAGCAATGTGTCCTAGTTGCAAAAAGATCTATCACAATGATCACAGCCTGGAAATTTCTACTGGTTGTAAGATGCTGGATGTTCTTAAAGTGTGGAAGAATGAGCACTACTGCCATTCAAGATATCTCCCTTCACTGGTTTGACAAGCAAGAATATCTGCAATAATGGATGGTGTTTTTCTAGCCAGAAATAGATATACAGCTCTGATAACGATCAGTTTATACTTTATGATCAGAGAAAAACATAGTAACCTAGTAGTACCTTCCTAAAGTCAACAGCTGAAAGATTAGAAGAACATCCTAAAAGTAAAAATACCTCTAAAGAGGTGACTTGACAGTTGTGGAGGTCTGCACTATAAACTTCCAAATTCAGATAAAAGTTAAGAGCTGAAAAACTAGTCATGCACATCTTGAGTACACCGCAGGAAGTCCCACAGGCTAATCACCTATGTGAGACAATTTACGTTACTTCTTTACTCTTTGTAGAGCTCACATTACAGGAAATATGGAGAATCCTACCCTATTTCACCTATATCCAACCCATCCTCAAAAAAAAAGTTTATTTTTTCCTCCCTGCCTTTTTTTTCATGGGAAAATCTTTTCATGCCTCCTATTATTTTCACTATTCTCTTCAGATTTGTATTACAAACCATTTGGCTTTATATTTCACCTACATGATTATTTCCCTACTGTAGAGCTAAAAGTCTCAGCAGAGATAAATAGGTGAATGTAATGCACCTCTGTTGGTTTGATAAGAAATAGATTCATTTTGCATGCATATCTGCATGTGAGTGGCTTAAAATACAGAGATTTGGTAAGTTTATTCATTTCACAGATCCTAAGAACCTGCAGTTTAAAATGCATCCAGTAAATTTCAGGGCCTAACTTCAGGACCCATAAAATCAAAGTATGCTTCCCACCTAAAACAAAATGCTATTGGGTTTTCTAGATAAGATATTTAGGATGTACCTTTAACATATAACTTCAATTAGATACATAGCTTCTAACTATCTCAATAACTCATTGATAAGGTTCATAGCAGACCGCTAAGCACAAGGATTACAAACTGCATTATTGTGAGGAGATGCTGAGGCAGTCAAGGAAGTGGGGCCAGCAAGCTTGTCATGGCCCTGCTGTTCTCACTATCCATTGTGGCTCCTGCTTTCTTTTGCCACCTGACCAGTTGGTACCAGTGCACTTACCCAGTCTCTCACTGGAACAAGGTTCCCTCTACAGATCATAGAAATTGCAGCTGGCACAGGCAAATCTACAATTCACTCCATAATTTCATTTGATAATCATGCTTCTCTACCAGCAACCTCCCCATTCTCAGTGAGATGCTTTTAACATAGTTTTAGAAAAGACATCCAAAAGCTATGTTCCTAACAATTTTCTTGTTCAAATAAAATAGCATAGAAATGAAAGCAAAGGAGTATTTTCCCACAAAGGAATGAGAAGTATTCTTATTCTGAAAAGGCAAGGTGTATGTACCATGGAATCAGTATCAGCTGTCAAGCAAAACTTGGGTAGGAAATCTGCAGGAAGCAGGAGGGAAGAATCAGTAGCAGAAATGTTTGCAGGGAACAAAAATTCTCTAGAACAGCTTGCAATGAAGTAAAATATCACATAAAGATCTTCTGTTCCCAAATACTATAATTTCCCCAGATACTCTGGCAGGCTTAGACTATCTTCTTATTATGTAAAACCTGCCATCACCATCTTTCTCTCATATTTTAAGTAGTAATACAGAAAGACACATTGAATTGTCACCATGACTCACCCAAGAGCCCTTTGACTCATTCTTTTATTAATAACCCTTTTTCATCTCATGAAGCACAAAGAAGAGGCAACCTGCACACTACAGAAATACATTACTCCTATCTGCATTTGAAGCTTCTTATCAGCCTTATTAGGATTCATATTTTTCCAGGGTTATATATATTTGGGGGGTGGGGGGGTTAACATTTAATGATTTTTTCTTCAGAAATGTCCACCTGAAAGTAACATTCCCTTTTTTAATTTTTAAGACAGCCTTGTTTTACTTTCTTCATTTTCAGCACTTCCAAATGGTTAAAACCAAGTCTGGCTGAGCATGTTTCCCGCAGTCATTTTCTGGCTTTGGAGACTGTTTTCTGACAGATGTGAAAATCCTCTGACCTTTTAACTTTAGCAT